TATTGCAAGTTATATCCATAACATTGACTGTATTACATTTCAACAAATACATGGCTTTTAATCAAATAAAATATAATACAAACTAGTTCTCCATTTCATCTGGTCCTTATTTTCTCCTAATTTATAATCAGGAAATCCATCCATACATGGCATATAATTTTCCCTCTTTCTAGTGGCTTGTGGGATTGTGCACACAGTTGCATTTAAATTGATAATCGTCCAGGCAAAGTGTAATTTTAAAGGACAGGCTAAAGAAAGATTTAATCTCTATATTAGAAGGGCTGAGTTGATTTTGTTGCTGCTGGGTTTGTCCTTTGCCTCCAAACTTAACAGAGACTTTCAGGGCATTTAACTTTTAAGGTGCCTCAGTTGAGGCCAGAGCCTTTAACAGAGGATGCGGTTTAAGCATCCAGATTAAATGCAGACTCCCCTCTGCTACAGGCCACATGCATGTATTCATCATGGATTTTCAAATGATGGGTTTATATATCATTGGTTTTGAGTCTACAGTCTTACATTCCAGGATCCATCCTCTGCCAAAAGCGTAACGATTTGGTGGCTGGAAGGAGAAACAGTCATTATATGGCTCCAAATTGCCAGCTGGCATAATATGCCAAGAACAGCAGAAATCCACTGGTAAAAAGAAGATTGTAATTGCTCTTTAAAATAATTTGATTCTCTAAAAATATAAATGCAGGAAATGTCATGACGTTTCAAAATATTTTATGATCATGGATAAATACATAAAGAATTACATGACTGGTATCTGTAAGTAGCACAGTCTAAAAATGATGGGAAGGCATTACCAATGTTAGGTTGTATTATATGAACTGCTTTAATTTAATATATTGGTGGATTTTAAGGGAAAACAAGTATCTCTCCATCATACCTTTATTTCCTTTTCTTAAAAAGAAACACATAGAAGTGAGACTGTTAAATTATACGGACAAGCATTTTTAATACAAATAAACTATATTTGCAAGCATATTTATATGCATGTAAAAAGAATCCTGTACAACATACTCAACAATTGATTGTCATTTTTGAACGTATTGATTAGATTTATATCCTACTTTCCTCACAAGCACATTATATGATATAATAAAACAGTTTTTAATTTCCTATAGTAAAACAAGAAATCTATTGCAAATGTTAATGGACACGATACTTTATGTATTATGTACAATATATGTTATATAAGAGTAGAATCTCTGGGAGCCCTGAACCTCCTTTATCTTTAAGAAATTCCTAAATATTCTTGTTGCAGTTTACTGCCACTGGACACAGAGATTATGCTCTGTGCAACTCTAAAAGCATTAACAGTAGTGTAATCTCCATTATTTTTACAGTATTCAGAAATAAGTCCTGATGAATTGAGTCGCTTCCTATTGTAGCCTAAGAAAATTAAATAGCTGATTCTAATAACTTGTAAACAAATATAATGAGAAGTACAATAGCACAGGTTTGTTTTTAACTTTATAATAAAGTTTAAAAAGAAATCTATGCTATTGTGCTATGCATTCTATTTATTTACAAGTTTTGTGTATACCACTGAGTCTGTGAGCAAGTGAAGGTAATTTTATTTCCTCATGTTGGTGATTTCATGCTATGGTGCCCCTTTTTATATACATTTTGTTTTCAGTAATACTATTGATGTGGCATGTTTAAACCATGTCCCTAAAGGTTAACTATTTTCAGTGGCCAGAGTTATTGCAGTGTTAATATAGCAGGTGCCCTTTTTGGTTACTGACATTGCAAGAGAACGAAACTCTCTCAAATAAAGAGAGTTGAAAAGCCACTGCCCCGGTGAATAAGTTCAGTTGCTCCCCTGTATCCTCTTCCTCTTCCTCTTGTCCTCCTCCCCCTCCCCCTCCTCCTCCTCCTCCTCCTGGTGCTGAGAAAGGCTGTTAATTGCAGTGCTGTGCCAGCATTATCATTGTGATTATTGCAGTTTCAAATGGGAAGCAGCACTGCGTCTGAAAGCACCAAATTAGCACAATGTGAAGATGCCTGTATGTCAGGATGTAAAGCTACAAGTGCAGAGATGACATGAAGGGGTGTGTTCAAAATCAGAACCAACTCCTGCTGAACTCAGCATTCAGGATTAGGCTCCGAAAGGGGAGGAAGGGATTGAGGATGAAGCATTTCAGAAGCTTCTGAGTCCTCCTCCGGTTTGTTTTCTCCTTCTTCTTTCTTTTCTGGAAATTATAGCCTTGCTGCACTTTCTTTTGTTTCAAAACAAAAAAGCCTAAAGTGGGGGAATAAAGTGAGTCAAGCTAAGCAGAATTCTATTGCATTTGTCCATAAAGCAGCCCCTTTTATCATGGTTTGCTTTGTTCTTTCTTGTTCTATTTCCCTCCCCACCCCACCACCTCCCCCAGCAATATCATCTGACGTTGGTTTCTTTCTTCTGTGTAACAAGCATTTGGTAATATCCAGTTAAATATTCAATACTGTACAACCAGCATACAGAATCCAATCAACCTCTTGCCTCAGGTAGCTCAGATTTTTCTCAAGGTCACCAGATTTTTCTGTTAGGAGCCTAAAATATTAAAAGAGCAAAGTCAAGGAGTCTTATTGTTTATATTATCATCCTGTTCTTTTTTAAGTGTGCCGTTTCTTACTCATCTGCACAGCAGACTTGTGGCACAGGTTAGATTCCGAGAGTGAACTGCATAGCTGAGTGGTGATTTGGACTGAGATACCTTGGTTTTCCTGCACATCCTTCACTCACATACAGAGAGACACATAATTCACTTTGTCTGTTGTGTATAGAGAGATACAAGAACAATAGATATATATTTTTTGAGACATAGTATATGAAGGGAAAATTGTGCCTCACCATAAAGAAAATAAATGGTGCTGGCTTAACTCAGAACATTGCTTGATTTTTTTAAAAAAATCAGGATGTATTTATAAAAAGGAATACAATCACAGCTCCTTTTCCGAGTCCTTATATCTATGTAGCTAAAGTTACACCGTCTAAGAATTAGGGGTAGACAGTGGCAGGTAAAGAAAATCCAAGTTTTGAAAGTATACAAAAGTTCCTGGGTGTGAGGAAACCAAGGCAACCCATTAAGTTGAATACTGAAAATGGACCAATGATTGGAGGAAGAAGAGTAAACTGGAGGCAGGGGGAATGGATTGGAATCTATTTGAAAGTTGATTTGGTTAGAATACTATGTTTTTTATTGTTATAGAATGTAGTGTGCAACTTATACAAAATTTTGTATTTTAATTGCAATTGCTTTTGTTCCTATTTGGATGCTTCCCATGAAGCAGCGATAGACAACAAGAGACTCTAGAAAGGTGTGCAACCCTTAGACTTTTTCTTTGGTTTCCAGCTTTCCTCTTACCACAACGACTGAAAATGGGAGGAATGAATGCTTTAATGTAAAATAGGCATACAGTTAGTCCTCAACTTATGATCACAATTGAGCCCAAAATTGATGTTGCTAAGCAAGACAGTTAAGTAAATTTATCCCATTTTATGACCTTCCTTGCCACAGTTAAGTGAATCACTGTACTTGTTAAGTTAGGAACACATCCCCTTTGACTTTGCTTGTCAGAAGGTCACAAAAGGTGATCCCATGATCCCAGGACACTCTGACTATCATAGATACATGCCAGTTGCCAAGCGTCCAAATTTTGATCACGTCACCACCATGGGAATGCTGCAACAGTTGTAAGTTTGAAAATGATTATAAGTCATTTTTTTCAGTGTGTTGTAATTTCAAACCGTCAGTAAACAAATGTTTGTAAGTCAAGGACTACCTGTAATTTTAGTTCTGAAACTCTCACAATCGTCCTCGCAATTCAGCAAAACCAGAATGGTTTTTTTTATCTGCCCATGTGCATGATACAGTTGTACTCAGTTTACATATCATTCCACCCTCTTCAGAGCTCGCCATGCAAAATACAGTAAAGTGTGTATGTGGCTCCAAGCCATAAAAAGGCAGCCCACTCCTCTTGTACAGATTAGTCAGAGGATTATCAAAATACAAATTTGAAAATGAATAATCATGCAGAGACCTGTTGTTCTACATGTTACCTAGTCTAAAGTTTCACAGAAGAATAGCATGATCACCATTGCCTGATGGTCCAGATGGAATTTATACTTTTTAATTCCAAAATTTCCAGTGTTCCGTCTAAACAATTGTTGTCTCCTGCTACTAATCAGCTGTGAAACATTCTCTAGGATGCTTACCTATGCATACCACATGAAATGAAATGAAACAAAATAAAATAATGAAATGAAATACTGTTTATTCAAACAATGACCAGCAAAATTTGGAGGGGGGGGGGAAATACAAAGAGATAAAATCCTAGCATAACAAAGATAAAATAGCAAATAAAAATTAACATACACTTCTGTAATGGTGTGTTAATTACCTTTGCAAGTTGATTTTAAAATATTGCAATTCATGCAGTACATGTCACTTAGGATGATGAAGACAGGTTATTGAAGCAACTACCATAACCAATTATCTTCTATTTGCTCCTTTTATTGTTTTTTAAAAAAAGATTCCATCCCACTGGTTCATCAGACACTACCTTCTTTTTCTAGGCACCTTCCATATGTGTTGAGTTTGTAACTCCCAAAAAATCTTAGCCAACTTGGGGGATGCTGGAGTGTTTCTTTAGAACAATTGGTACACATATATTGACCTTGTTGAAAAGAAGAACAATATTTCCTGAAGATATTTCAGGGTTAATCTACGTACCTAGGAACAAGGAGAGATTTAACCTGGAAATAAGGAGAAACTTTCTGATAGTGAGAACAATCAACCAATGGAACAGCTTGCCCTCGGAAGTTATGGGAGTGCCCATAACTTATGAGAAGAGATTGGACTGCCAATTGTCAGAAATGGTGTAGGGTTTCCCGCTTGGGCAGGGGGTTGGACTAAATGACCTACAAGGTCCCTTCCAACTCTGATGATCTGTTACCTGAATCCATGGTTAAACCTGCATTTGTTTGTCTTTCTTTGCAAAATGAACAGGGAATGGGTATGGCAACCCTCGCAACTCTCCAGGTCTGCTGGTCTCACCTGGCAACTTGAACAAGAATATGCAAGCAAAGTCTCCTCCACCCATGAATTTGGGATTGAATAATCGTAAACCAGACCTCCGAGTGCTGATCCCACCAGGAAGCAAAAACACAATGCCATCTGTGGTAATACATTATTTTCTTCCTTTTCCTTCATAGATCCAAAGGTTCCAGTAGGATTTAGATTAACCTAATGACAGGAAATTATTTGCATAAGAATATTATTCAAGGCTCTAGTTCTTAAACTGAAAAAGTTTTCAGCCAACTTTAGTTCAAAAATGAATAGTTTGATGTATTAGGTCTGCACTGATGAAAAAACAGATTGGTTTGTTAATCAATTTAATGAGCTCTCTAAAAATTTATCAAGCAGCTTTTGCCAATTGTCACTCTCCAGACATAAGTTGACATTGCATTTCCAAGTATTTCCAGCCAACATGCCAAAGACTGAGGATTCTGGATTTGCAATCCAAATATAGTTTGACAGCACTTGTTAGGTGTGGCTGGGGATTATTAAATTAAAATTATTTTCAAACAGTTAGCAGGATAGTTTGGCAATATTCTTAATAATGCAATTGAAAGCAATTCTCTGGTAGATTCACTGGGATGAGATTTGGGGGTGGTGGTGTTCCAGATAAATTAATGGCAGAATGAATACTAGCAACAATCAGAGTTCTACCCAGATTCATCCTTTCTTCAACCAAAACTTGCTACAAAGGTCTAATATTATACTTATGTATTTAAAAATTTAAAGAAGTTACTTGAAAACAACAATGTCATGATTTTAAAAGAAAAGGCTTTTAATAGGGTTAATTTATTTTAACCCATTTGTCAGATAGGGAATGGCTTCCACAGTCTTTATTACCCTTTTAATCAACCTCAAAATTGTGTAGGTATACTTTTTTTCCATAGTGACAGTTCAAGGAAGTGAGATTCACACCTTCAACATTTAGGCAAAAAATGAGAACGAGTTGCCCTTAATGTACTTAATGGAGTTTGTAGTGGGTTCAGACAGAGTTCAGAAGAAGAACCAAGGCAAAGTGCACCATTTTGCATGCTCAGAATGATTGCAGTAAACCCTGGTGTCTCACTGTAGCTTCTGTATAAGTCGCAAGAGAGGATTCACAATTCCTTCTATTTCTAGAGCTCTTCAGAAGAGGAAGTACTTAGCTTCTCTGTGCAGTCTTGCCCCTTGCTAGGAAAATCTATACTTCTGCATGAGCTTTCATAGTATTTCACTGTTTCTGTGCTGTGACTGAACTAGGCACACTTCCTTAACCATTAAGGTTTGGAGGGAGGAACATTTTGGCCAGAATTTTTTACGTATTTTTATTGGAAGTATGTGGCGGAGAGGATCTGATATAAGTGATATCTGCCATATAGATAGAGGCAACTTAAAATCATATGCAATGAATTAAATTCATAAAAAAAAATATTGTTAAGTATTTTCAAACACAGTATTTAATATTTTGTAACGTTATTACTTTGCTGGTTGCTCCTCATGTTCTCAAGAGCTGCCCATTTTATATAAAATTTCAGCTTGTTCCTAGGAGAAAGGCAACCATTTATAATACTCTGAATCAGAGAACAAACCAAAGCTTCAATTCTTTGTAAACTTAATTAGGATTTATCTCCTTGAATTCAAAAAGGCTTGGTACAGATAAGACAGAAATGAATTTTACTAGAATTGTATCTTGACAAAAATCAAAATAATCCACTAATCTGAATCTGGAATTTATGTTCAAATGATGATACTTTAATACCATTTTGATTTGTGACTGCCATCACTATAGTCAGTTTTTTTCAATTGTGTTTTTAAAAGATTGATGTTCTCTGTGATTTTATAGTTTTTTTAATTACCATATATAGCTTTTTGAAGCTATGCTTTGACATCATATGAAAACAGTACTTTACGTTTTAATTGAAACACAAATTAATAACCTGAAGAAGTGCATCTTTACTTCTGCAACTCTGAAGCCTAAAAGTTACATCTTACCATTATAAACAGCACTTTAATTAAAACCTTTCTTCATTAGTAATGTTTATCATGCCCTGTCCACACACATTAAACAGCTACAGTATCTTTGTGCATTAAACCAGTATCTTTCATTATGTTCTATGGAAGCATATAAGAGGTTAATTTTCCATGTAATCCTTAAAAGTAGGACTATTTCAGAAACAAATCTGATAAGAAATACTAGGTAATGCCAAGCTAATGTTCTATTTAAATCAAATTGACAACTATTTTAAACAGTTCTGTGTTAAAACTACCAGCCTGATGCATTTATACATCCACTTTGTGGTTTCCATTTGGATAAAACCCATCAGTGCAACTATCTCTTCTTGAAGGAATAGGATAAGCTAAATTGCTTGTGTGGCTGACCGTCAGAAAACATTCCATCAAATGTTTTATTTCTAGGAACATCTAAACTAATAATACTTTCCAAGAGGTCATCTGATTGGCAAGATATTTTGCAACAATGATGTCACTGAGTATGAGTTGCAGATGAAGTCATTATTAGGAAAGCAAAAACATGGGTGTGTGATATCCTTAGATTAATCTTCATCTCTAAGGGGAAAAGGAAGAAGTTAACCAACCAGGACTTTTATGTCCTAAACATAGGGATTTAAATAATGTTTAATGAGATTATACTAGAATACATAACTAGCTTGATAGCCAATTCTACTGTGCATTGTTGTGAAACTATGCCTTCTTGCACTGGAAGCAGAAGACTTTAGAATATTTGCTTTTGCTAATTATTCATCCTCCTCTCTCATGCTATCAGTCTGAGGATGTTGATCTGCTTTTGGTAAGTGGGAATAATGTTATTGAAAACATGCAGAAACAATTCATTTCCCTACTGGGTTGGCAGCTGAAATATAATGGAACTTTTTCTTCAAAAACAAATAGAAGTCTATCCCATCTATCTTTTAAGGCTTGAAAGTTGTTTAAAAGTCTTGTGTTTAACTGCTGTAAAGCAACAATTTTAAAAAGGTTGGATTTAGTGTTTTTTCAGTAATGTCATCTTTGAATGCCCAAACTTTTTAAAGTTTCCATCAAATGCCCTATGCCTTTAAATGTCTAAACTTGATTTGTACGCATTAGAGTCCCACAGTAAGAAAATACAGGGTAAAGGTATATTTAATAGTATCTTTCATATAAGTTTCAGCATTTTTAAGAATGAAGTGACCATAGCACCATCTGCTGGAGAATATAGAATATACAGTATTGCATATTCATCATCTAGCTTGCCTATTTTAAGCATAAGGAGGTCTGTGGATGTAAGCAGGCTTCTGCATCTGTCCCAAATTGTAACAGAAACCATAGAAAAATTGAACATGCATGGGCATATCATTACGTTGCTTTCAAGAGTTAATCCTCTACTACCATCTGGCATAACTCATCCTACATAGACACTTTTTAAAAACATCCTTGGAACTAAATAGTTATATTTTCAGGCTTTTTTTTTTCAAACCTAAATGAATACATGTTAAATATTTTTATCCTCCTAGTCTGACTGCTACTAATGTATATGTGTCGGGGGGAGGAGAAAAATCTTATATGTTTGGTAACCTAGGAGATTCTGATTTAATGAGTTACTATGGTGACAACTGGTCGCTTGAAAAAATGATAAATCATGGGATTGGCAGAGTTCATAAAAGTGACATGATAAATGATTAATGTAGTGAAATCTGTATGCTATTTTGTACCATAGGAACAAATCCAATCTCTAAATATAATTTGTTTCAAATGTTTTCCATCCTTCCATTAATATGTTTATTTTACTCATTTAAAAGAATCAAAGGATAAATAACTCTCAGTCTGCTCAGTCATTGGCTACTCCGGTGGTTTCCGTGGCAACTCCTACTTTACCAGGGCAAGGGATGGGAGGATACCCATCAGCCATTTCAACAACATATGGTACCGGTAAGTTTTCACGTAATTCTGAGCCTTATAGATTAAATGAGAAAAAAGCAGATACTCACATACAAGATAGCCCAAGTTACAAATTTGATGCTTGTGGTAATATAAAATGAAACAATATGTAGAATCCTGTCTCGTTTTTGTTGTGCATCATAAGAATTGCTTTTAAGTGGCTTAAGAATCACTCATTCACACTTGACAGTTGAAGAGCCACTTAAATTTCCCTTATCAAAAAGTGCTTTGACATTCCCACTCTCATAATTAATTGATGCCTGCTGGCACGTTGTAGATATAACTTACCCTGCATCATACACTTTTTTGAAAGAGCAGAAATGTTTCCATACCTACTTGAACTGCAAACTCCATAGTAGAGTGTCTGATAGTGTCTTATTTTGTACACTTGTGTGGCATTTGGGCATATCACTCCAGAACTATCTGGCAGGGACTGCAGGTATAATAAGAATGGCTGCACCTGATCCATATCTGGAAGGGGGAGGCATTTTCCAGTTCAGGGTCCCCCCAAAAGTTGAAGCCCAAAGTATGTCCATCCTCCGTTGACTAGGGCTCTAAAACTCAATACAAGCCTGGCTGGTCTGGAGGATACACAATGCAAAAACTGATTTGTGCACCTTTTTTCACTTGTACTTATAGGCTTGAATGTGTATTCAAGGTCACAGTCCATGAGAACACATAACTAACTAACTCCGGGGCCTAAGGTTACTATTTCCAAGAATTCTAGGCTAATCTAATTTTGATTGCACTGTACAGTAATCTCCCTTAAAGCTCATATATTTGGCCCATACTCAGTATCAAGGTGAGGAACCGTGGTCCTCCAGTAGGTACTAATCTAGAGTGCTCCGCATCCATTACCGTGCAGGGCCACATAACTGGGAGTTGTTGCCCAGCAATATCTGAAGAGTCATAGGTATCCCATTCCTTGCAAGTAAGCTGACTCTGTAGGCTGCATTTTTGGGTGTTGATAAATGTGTGCTAAAAATACTACAAAACTTCACAAGCTGAAAGTTCACCAGGAAACAGAAAATCATATATTTAGCATTTATATCCTAGTATTACTTATTTTTATTTAATTTGTCAATTGCTTACAATATAATAGATTTAAGAATGAACATAAGTATAAATACATAAAACAGGTACGAATAATTGGGGACAATAGGACAGGGACGGTAGGCACGATTGTGTGCTTAAGATAGTAAGCTGAGTTTATGCACTTATGTATTTATGCATGTATCTGCCTATTGTGCTCACAGTGAGTGGGGAAGAGAAGGGAATGCCTTAATACCACAACTGCAGTAGATTTAAAATGCCTTATTAATGGAATATGAGAGAATTTGTCCATAGTTATTGAACTCTTTCATTTTAATTTTGAAATTGTGTTTTTTTTTTTTCATTCTTGCATTCAGAGTATTCATTGAGTAGTGCAGACTTGTCATCATTGTCTGGGTTTAACACAGCCAGTGCTCTCCACTTGGGTTCAGTAACTGGCTGGCAGCAGCAACATCTACACAACATGCCACCATCTGCCCTCAGTCAATTGGGGTAAGTCAGAATTCAAACCGTCATGTTATTTTTAAAATACCCATGATATCTCTTCCACACGCACGCACACATACACACACACACACAAATAACCTGTTTTTTGTTATAAAGTTTTTCCCTCACTGTTGGAGGAACAGAAGTTAACAGCCTGTCCAGTGTTTGGAGAAGAGAGCTCAGGGTTTCTAGTATCCTGGAGATGAGGCACCTTGAAAGGAACCAAAGTTATAGTCTTGGCAGAATAACTGAATTATCTTTGTCCTAAAAGAAATCCAAAAGAGTGGCCTCCATCTAGTTCTCTCCTGTGTCCCTTCCTCTGTAGATAACATTCTGCTGTTGTCAGTAGAAAGTGATATGAGAGGCAGGTATAACACATAATAAATGGCAGCCCTGTGTTATGTCAGTAATAGATACATCATGCATATGGACAGATTGCAATGCAGCTTTTTTTGTCATTAGCTCACATGGGGGAGGAGAGCAGTTTAGTAAAATCAGGCAACAGGCAGTCTATGGGATTAAATTGTTTTAGTAGTAGAGTTCCAACATTAGCTGTACTAGGCCATGTTTTATTTTATTTATTTGTATCCCACCTTTATTATTTTTATAAATAACTCAAGGTGGCGACCACCTCCCTTCTATTTTTTCCACAACAACAATCCTGTGGGATAAGTTGGGCTGAAAGCTAATGACTGGTCCAGTGTCACCCAGCTGGCTTTCATGTCACCAATAGAGAAGAACATATGAAGCTCAGGGTGGAACTGTGAAATCTTGGTGCTCTCTGAGTTTGGCTGTTATGTATTCAGCTATGTTACATTAGGCTACAAGCAGCTGACTTCCAGCCCAAATTCCACTGCCCCAAAGACACAGTGGTCAGAACCTATTTGCTCCCTTGAAAATGGCTTCCTTCTTCCTCTTTCTTTCTTGACCTGCCTCAAAACAGCAAGAGGTAGGGAGGGGAAATCCCTATTCCTCCCATAGAGTCCCACTCTCTCAATCTGGAGGTGTGTCCCAAATGAAAGACAAGCCAACTAGGATATCATCCTAACATGGAGAGTTGTAAAGGGTGAAAAAAGGACTATAGTAAGTCCCCTACAAGGAGTCCTCACATAACCACCATTCATTTATCAACTGATGTTACAACACTACTGTAAAAAGGTGACTTATGACCCGTTCTTGCTCTAACAATCGTAGCAGAAGCCTCATGGTCACCTGATCATGATTTGAGTACTTGGCAACTGTTGTGCATTTAGGACTGTTGGTCACATGGTTGCCATTTGCAACCTTCCCAGCCAGCTTCCGATGAGCAAAGTCAATGGAGAAGCTGTGGTCATGTGACATCTCACTTAATGACCACAGTGATTCGCTGAATGGCAGCAGAAATTGGATGCTGGCACTGCTTAAGAACAAATTTTAGAGCCCTTTTATAATTATAAGTTGAGGACTACCTGTACTTTGCATGCAGAGGTTTTAATAGCTAACATCCCAGGTGGTATCAGCTGACTGGAATATCTAAAATCCTGTAGATTATTTGACAGAAGGCATACTTCCATCAAAACCTCACATAAATGCTACCCTACCACTTACTTGAGCTGAATCTAGAAATTACATGCCAAAAAATCAGACCTTGAAAGCAGATAAGCAATTCATGTAGAACTCATCTGTTTTCCCCAATCTATTAACATAAATTTTCCCCAATCTCTTCGCTGATTGTATTATAACCTGTCTACTTAGTATTACCAACTGACCTACCAACTTGACCCATACATAATCCACATTTGCCTGAGCATCATGCATTTTAGAAGAGGCAGAAACATTTCACTTATTTCCCTTATACTATGATAAATTGTATGTTCAAAAGGTTGCCAGCAAGCAAACCTAATGTTCATTTTCACAGTGAAAGGCATGCATTCCTGCCCTCTAGTGGCAAATTCAGGAGGGAAATTTCTATACTAATGTATATTATGCTTTGTAAAAGCCAGAAACTCTTTATAAAAGATTAATTATAAACAAATCCAGTGGAACAAGGAAACTAGCAAGCCATAATGTTCACTTTTCCTATGATCTGAATTGCACATAGTCAAGGTTGAATATCTTTTCAGTGACTGGAGACATGAGTGCATTACATATATTTCTCAATTTATGACCGCAATTGGAATTTCCACCATACAGTAGTGCAATTGGAAGGAGAATTAGACCTGATTTTAGAACAATGTTTACATCAGTCATTAAGTGAATGACCATGGTTGTTAAGCAAATCCAACTTCCCCAATAGGTATTTTCTGCCAGAGGGAAAGGTCAAAAAAAGTTGCAAATTTTTATCACAAGACTGCAGGACATCTCAATTGGTAATAATTGTGGGTAGGTGGCCATGCACCACAATTGTGATCACATGGCCAAGGATCATAACTCATTTTTTTTCCACGACCATCATAACTTTGAATATATTATTAAATGAACAATATAAGCCAATAAGGACTATTTGTAATAATAAGCTAGTGTGTGCCTATTTAATGAGATGCCCTTCTTTCAGGATACATTGAAAGCAGTAGCTCAGTCCTATTTAAATTAAACATGCTGCCATTCACTTCAGTAAGAAGTGGGTTATACCAATTATTTTGTATGTAAGAAGTGAAAACTGTATTACCGTGAAAGGTTTATTATATATCTCCTATAATCTTCATAATAATATTCTTTTGTATTAATCTTAGTGTTTTAAAAAATACATTAAAAAATAGAAAATGTTCCACCTAAGCATTTAAAGTGAACAAATTGTTTTCAGTTGAATACCATAACATAAACAGACTGTTTCACAAAGAAAGTGAGGTTTATAATTACATGCTAAACCAACAGCAAACTTTCATAGATTTGGCACACACTATCATCTATTTCTAGTGCAGACATAAAAAATCTGCCCTAATTTTACATGTACATTATTCTATGAATATTTATTTTACATTTGTCAAAAGTTGGAACTCTAACTGAAAGCAATAAGAAAATTTCACTTGGCAATTCCTTCTGCAAATCTTGTAAATCAGGTTTAATCTGAAATTAAATAGCAGTTTGTTAAGCCGCAAGAAAAGAGAATACTTCTTTTAATTCTGCTCTATCCAATTTAGTATATAAGATGGATCTTAGGAGTGTGCATTTTTACTTTTTTAGAAATCAAGAAAACTGTGTATGAGACCTTAACTTATTGATAGTTAGTGCCTCTATTTTCCACAGTGAATAAAGACAGTCATTATATTCATTACACAGCAAATTGAACTAATTACCAATAGTTAACAGATCCCAACAATAGACAGTGTGTTAATTTCAGGTATAGCCAAGAATTCAAAATCAAGAGAATTCTGCCCTTAGGCTTGCTTTTCACACAACTGCAACTGTAGGGCCAACATGCTTGTCCATTAAACAACTGCACCAATTTTGACAAAATCAGCTGAATACAGGGCAGATGAAAGCAATTACGGATTGCAGCATTTCTCTTCCTCTTTGTTGACTAACAATGGCCATTCATTATTAAACATTGTGACAATTGATGATAAAAGCATTGCCACATCATTCCAAGGATAGATATCTAGCATTGTTTTTCATTTCTGCAGACTTTAGAAAACAGTTGACTACAGTCCTTCATTTTGTGTTCAGCCACAAAGATTTTAGAAGGTTAGGACTGAGCATGTAGGCTTTCCAGTCTTTAAAAATGTGCAGCTTCAGTGCTCAAGTGACATATCTCCTCCATGCCGTAACCTTTCATCCCTCGGAGGAACATGCAATCTGCCATGTCAGCTCTGAGTGATAGACAACTTCCATGCACAATCGACAAGTATTCGCAAAGTTTGGAAATTATGTACATAACATTTTCCTTTCCCATCACCATTCTTCTGGATCTAGAAAACAAGTCTATTTTAGACATTTTAGTAGTTTATGATAGAAATTTCAAACATTGTCATAAATATGTAAGAAGTTTATGTTTGGTTGTACTGAAGTTGAAATGTCATACTGAGAACATTTCATGTCATTGCCATTAGTATAGCTATTAGCACATTTTGAACACATTGGTTCTGGATTTATCCACATGTGGCTGGGGAATTTTGGGAGATGAAATCTCCACATCTCAACATTGCTGAGACTGAGAAGCACTGATTTAAATAATTATATTGAAAATAAAAATACCCTCTTGATTCCAATTTCCTCATTGCCAAAAGAGAAGGGGAAAAATACAGGAGGCAATAAGCAAACAGAGAACTTGGTGGTGTTTAACTGAAAATCATGGTTTGGTTTGGTGACTTTTTCGAATATAATAGCTTTAGAATAAGTCAGAACCTTCTGTATCCAATCTTGCATCAACTTTTTGCTTATATTAAAAATGAATGATAGTTTCTATGTACCTTTAGTGTGACATAGACTTCGATAGGGAACTTCCTGAACCTTTGCTCAAACCTCTTTCTAGTACAAGTTGCCCTAACACCTCAGGACACTCACCAGAATCCAGAAGAATGAACCCAGGATGTCTTGAAGGCCATGTGAAAAACCAAAAGATGCTGAATAGAACAACCCCAACTGCTCTTGTAGTTGAGTTGTAGGCAATCTACATCAGTCTGCCCTACAACCTACCATCTTTTAAAATTGCTTTTCTGTATATGCACACATGCAGTCATACTTTAAGTAATCAGTCATAGTTTCAAAAACAGCAGGGTGTGGCTGACACTATTTCCATTTGAGATCAAAATCATCCTGGCTGCAGTTCTGAGCAATCCATAGAACAAACTGCAAGGACCATCTTAGGAGAGTCATCTTTTCAGATGTGTCCCACAGCTGCAAAGACAATCTTTCACACACACAGTCCTTGGCTTTGTGCAGGGATAAGTTTTTCCATCTCTTAGCTGATATTTTGTATAAGTGTACATTTCAGGGGGCTCTGCCTCCTCCGTCTGTAACTGGGTTTCCTTTCCTCTTACAGAGCTTGCACTAGCACTCATTTATCTCAGAATACAAATCTCTCCCTGCCTTCTACTCAAAGCCTCAACATCAAGTCCGAACCTGTTTCTCCTCCTAGAGACCGTACGACCACGCCATCGAGATATCCACAGCACACGCGCCACGAGGCGGGAAGATCTCCTGTTGACAGCTTGAGCAGCTGTAGTAGTTCCTACGATGGAAGCGACAGGGAAGATCACCGAAATGAATTCCACTCTCCCATTGGACTCACCAGACCTTCGCCGGACGAAAGGGAAAGTCCCTCCGTGAAGCGCATGCGGCTCTCTGAAGGATGGGCAACATGATAACTTTACTAGCTATTAGAGGTTTTTTTTTCCTTGCAGTGCGTGTGTGTGCTATACCTTAAGGGGAAAGAGGGAGGGGGGTCAATATGCATTATATGTGCTGTGTGTTGGGGGGGAAGTCAGGTACTCTGTTTTGTAAAAGTACTTTTAAATTGCCTCAGTGATACCATATTAAAAGATAAACAGCAATGCTGAAGAGATGCTTCGCACTTGAGTTGTACAACAGATCACTTGTACAAAATAGGTTTTAAGGTTAACTTCTTTTTACTGTTGTGCTCCCTTGCAAAATGTATGTTACAATAGATAGTGTCATGTTGCAGGTTCAACGTTATTTACATGTAAATAGCCAAAAACAGAAAAAAGAGGAGGCATTTGCCCAATCCTGGGCAGATCATTACTGAGAGAGAAAGTGGCTGTTATGCAACAAATAGAAATTGTACAGATGTTTTGGGAGACCCAGAAATTGGGTGATTAAGGGGGGAAAAAAAAGAAAAGAAGGAAAATTTTAGGTCGCTTAGTATATCTGAAAATGCTCACAAATGTGTAGGCATATTGTATAGTATGGCACTCAGTTAAACGGATCAAAATCATTTAAAAGAGGACCATACTTGTGGAAAAAAAATGTTTTGGAGTTCTTTTTTTTTAGTGTGAGGGCTAACCTATTTAATTTTTTAAAATTCTGGGTCTGGATCATTTATTAAATAAAAATATTAAAAAATATGTAAATTACATTTTCCTTATTTTCATATTAAAAAGTAAGACAGAATTTGCAAAGCATTGTGGCTTTTTGTAGTTTACATAAGCCAAAATGTGTTTTCCCCCTTCATAGCTTTGCCAATATTTTAAACAGCCCTGAAGGAAACAAAGGGGATCTTTTTTGTATAGAAAGCACTACCCTAAGCCATGAAGAACTCCATGCTTTGCTAACCAAGGTAATTGTTTTCTCTTTGCAGAAATTTTGTTTTTGAAATGTGTATTTCTAATTATATAAAATATTAAGAATCTTTTAAAAATCTGTGAAATTAACATGCTTGTGTATAGCTTTCTAATATATATAATAATTATGGTAATAGCAGAAGTTTTTGTTATCTTAATAGTGGGGGAATTATATTTGTGCAGTTGCACAATTTAAGTAACTATTTTTTCCTTTTAGTTTTTCTTCAAATCAGAATACATTTTAGAGTATCAGTCAGCTGTTGGAGGCTAATCTGCAAACAATTAGGATTTTCCCTTCCATATCATTCTAATATATCTGCAGTCAATTTTGCATTTTGGATAGTTCCATCATATTTTTGAACGTGTTCTTCTTACCTTATTTATGTTTTGCGTATCTTGAGGCTTTTTGCCCCTTAGATCACAATGTGGCTCAACTTTGTCTTGTTTCTATACATTCAATAAAACTAGCAATCTTTTGGCTGTAAGAGGTAACTCAGAAAGCTTGCACAATCTCAAACAAAATCAAAATCTGGGGTAGTATCAAAGTGAACATAATTTAAAAATCCATAACAATTACCCCTAATTTGGTACCCTGACTGCATATTTTATGCCCAACATTCAGTAGGTTATCTCAGAACTACAGGCAGATTCAGGTTCAAATGTGATCATGGAAAAGTGGCTTTGATGGCCTAGCTAGTCCTTCCAACGTAATTCTTTATTTTTTGTTCTCCTTCATACAGAGTAATTGAGGACAGGAATAGCAGCAAAAGGTCACCATTCTAACTTCAATCTGGCTATAAATGTTGAGTTGTTTATATCCAAGAATGAATTTATACGTGCATTACATTACTTATAATACCATCATGTACAGGTGTACTGCAAAATAAATCCAATAAGGTTAATGGGATTTGTTTCCAGATGACTGAATATAGGTTTACTCAGAATTTTGCTATGCAACACTTGATGACTTATGGCTGAATGTATGGATCACTGAAAAGTGTTGGGCTTATTTTGACATCTGTATTTAGTTGGTGTCATGGTTAAAATGTGAAGCATGTGCATCATGTTGAGCAACTAGAGCTAAATTTCACAGTTCCATTCAAATGTAGTGGCTGCTGTGTTTTTTTTTGTTTTTTTTTTTTTTTTGAGCAAACAGCCCTGCTATAAAAATTGACTATTATAATTTTCTAACTTAAATAGTTTGGTCACCATAGAACAACATCCATTCTGTTCTACTTTCCTCTTATTAGAGAAAGTGAACATTACCCATAATTCCTACCCATGTTTTTAATTAAGAATAATATCAAAATAAAATTATGCCTGAACAGGATATCTAATTTATCTTTGACATTAGCACATATTATTTATAATTTAGCAGGCATAAAAATGCATGAAAGCTATGTCATTTGCTTTAAATACTTCCTTCACACATCCTGGGACCGATTCTTGAAAGAAAAGGGTTCCCCCGCCCCCCAATACTAAATAATGTGTGAAAGGTATATCTGGATTCCCAGTACTGTAGGAGAATCCTACAGTATATGACTTAGTTTATTTTATTCTTTATAATTGTTTTATATTTCTTGGAGCTTTAAGATCTGTCATGCAAATTAGGTATAGGTAGTCCACCCTGCTGGGCTGAGCAAGCAAGTGAGTAAACGCTACAAGAGATGTAGCTTATTTTCTTTCTTTGGACAGGAGGGCAGGGTAGAAATGTAAGATGGAAGAAATATGAGTAATTTCTAGCATGTTAGAGTCAAAGCACAGCTCATGATGCAGTTCTCTGAACTGCTCATTTTCATACAGTATTAATATATACTGTAGCAGTCTAGAAGGCTATTCACTCTTTACCACTTAATCCCAGTTGCTGATTAATCTGTGATACCTTTCCAGAGTCATGAACAAGCATTAGCAAATCAGCTGACTTTGGCAAATGTTAATGGAGACATAGACGTCTATATAAGAATACAAGTTGTAAAAATTCTGTTTGATTAAGGATACCAACCAAATATAGATGTAAGGCTTTGTTCACTTTTAACAAAATCAATAATAATGATACCTATACCACAGCCGTAGTGTCATCGCTTATGATTCCATGCTGGCTCAGCAGTTGTTTTTTCTTATCCTAAGCATTTCTTGACCAGCCCAGAAAGTCTTGGGAGTATGCTGAAGCCATATCATTTGCACGTATGTTCTAGATAACAGAAAAAAAACAAACGCTTTGATAATGCATTAATTCCACCAATGACTTTAAATATATACACCTGCATCAAAGGAAGTGAGAATGGGGCCAATGTTTGATTATGCTAGCTTCAATCAGGGTTCCAAATTATTTTCTTCACTTTAACATTTACCACCACTTGAGAACATTCATCTTCAACAGAAATTAAATATGCAATGTGTATGTGGCCATTTTAAAAAAAGGAAAAAGAAAGAAATAATATTTGGCTTACCAGTATGGTTGTGAATCCTTTGCCAAAGTGGGTGATAGTGACAGCCATGCACATCTACATGTAATATTACTCTTCAGCCTATAGAATTGTGGGGTTCTGTGCATGGAAATAAGTTTGTCCCACTCAGCCAGGCAATTTCAACCTTGAAACACAGTCACAGAACTGAATTGTGCAAGAATGGATATTAGTATTTCTTCCTTTTTCCACTATTGAGTTAAACTAAAATATAGAGGCACAATCCTAGGGTTAACTGAACATTGTAAATGGATTTAATTAATAAAGAAGCACAATGTTTAATGGTGATGTTACTTTCTAAAAGCTTTGGCAGTCAATACTTAACTGTTCTTTTTTATCTATACCTTAACAATTTTTGGTAAAACTACAATGGAGGGACTTACGGTGTGATTCTTTTGTATTTAAGCAGTTTTGGGGCAGTGCCCCATAAAAGGATTGAGATTTTCTTCAACCTGGGCAGAACAAAATTAAAGGCAACATGCAATAGCCAAAAGGATGTCTTCTCCCCTTAAGCTGATCTTTATTTTGGAAATAGCTTATTAATGAAGGGATAAAGCCTGTTTTCTGATGACAGTATATGATATATACCACCCTTTCCAAATCTAGTGCCTTTTTAATGTAATGTCACAGTAAAATTCCTATCCGAAAAGGAAATAGGCATTGGCCATATCTTAGCTGGGCAAGATGGGATTTGTAATCCATATATGAAGAACACTAGGTTGAGGAAAGCTAATAGAGTACACGTTTATATATTGTATGCATTGATGACTTTCTCAGAAAAGGAGTTTTTAAAATCATTTTAGTGCTTTATCAATGGTATTATTTTTCTTCTTCTTTTTTTTTTTTTTTTGGTAACCAAATGATTTCTATTTTTCCCAGGAGTGGAATTTAACATTTTTAATAATACAGTGATATTTGCTGTTTCTCAGAGGGCTTTTTCCCCAAACAAAGCTAAAATGCAAGAATAAAACAACTGCTATGCTATTTTCAAGAATGTCAAGAACCCCTTTTTGTATTGTTTGACTTTGTCTTAGCTTTTACCCATCTTCCTCATAGATGCAACAGTGTGGTTTGGTTTGGTTTGGTTTTTCTTTCTTTCCTGCTGTCTCTAGAAGGCAAATACTTTGCCTTTATGTCCCAAAAAGCCACTTGAAACCTCAATAAATGCTATTGCCTAAACCCAGAATATTCCTCTGCTCCCATTTTATGCCACCTGCAGTGACATCTTAACATCTGTGGCCTCCATTTCTTGATACCCTGTGCCCCTCAAATGGCTGGTGAAACACTGGTGTCGGTTGAGAAGACCTCACTCCCAAACTATTAACAGGCGCTTTGTGAACATATTCTAACCAAAGATGTGGAGCAATCCAAGTGTAGAATTGCACCCTTTGTACCAAATTTTCTACATCACAATGGGTATAATCATGTTTAGTTTTGCTGTCCCTGCTTGTACCTCAAACTGGCCCGTAGTTCAGTTTTATTCAAAAATGTCAGCTCAGTGGTAAAAGAAACTCACTTAACCTAAAAATATTTGACTTGGATTGCTTCAGATAATTTGCTTTTGCTTTATTTTATTTTAATCCTGGGAAGTTACTTTAATTAAATCAGTGATATTCTCCTGCTGATGGGCACATAAAAACGTTTTGCAAGAAATATTAGAGGCTCACAGCGGCATAAGCTGGACTTTGTCGCCACTAGATGACAAGATATTATAACAAATTTAAAAATCACACCTGTGTATCTCAAGAGATTTAATCAGCTGTCTGTAGTGAACAATAAATAAATTAATGGGCAAAAAAAATCAGAAGTTCTTCCTGCTGGACATAAGGTATAATTTGTATTTTGCAGCCAAATCAGTAAAATTACTGGCTTTCTTAGTGATACAGTGTCTGTGGTGCATTTTTTTTTGTTTAAAAAATTAAATAGTCTTTGCCTCAGTTAGACATCCGTGACATATCAAATCAAGAGTTTAAAATATACAGACAAGAAGACATGTTGTAATTCTAAAAGCAACTCTTCTCCTGTATTTTTTTTTCCATTGTCATATTAACTCACTGCTGACAGGATCTTAATGGGCAGCAGTATCTATTCTGGTAATACGCTATCTTAAAAGTGATAGCAATACAGAAACATTAAAATACAAAGTTTGATTTGTTTCAAAAATATGCAAGCATTAGTATCTTCTTAATAAGGTGGGCTAAGTTACTGTATGCAGTGGTGAAGCTACAGGAAAATTGATCTGCAGATGGATAGAATACTTTATCAGAGATAATCTGCTATTTACTTTCCCAAAAAAGTAGTAGCAACAACATTTTTCATTTGGAATATGTAATATTAATGCCAATATTAATAGCCTGCCATGTATTACATTTTCAGCACATTACAATATCTAAATATTAAAATAAGTCAACAGGTAAACTGCTCTTGCAATCAAGATCTATTAAAACTGTTTCTGAAATTACATCAAAAAGTATAAACAGAATGTTTAAAATGTTAAAAAAGCTGTAAGTGTCTTGGGAATTTTTTTTTCTAAGATCTTTGGCAGCAAGGTAGGTGTATTGTCTCTTCAAAACAGTCTGTCAAAATTGACTTTTGAGCAGCATCTAACATAGGAAAGGTGATGTCAGCATCTAGTATATCTGAGGAAAAGCAATCCTGGGAATTCTCAGGTTTTAGCCATTTAATATTTTAAAGATCAAAATCAGAACTTTCAGCAGAGTCTACAAATGGATTGGAAGCTGTTATTGAGAGATTTCATTATGCAAGTAAATACTACAGTCACTTACTATTGAGGAATTTCAAATCCTTGATTTTTGCTGGATCAAGCAAGGGATTGAACAAGGTGGCCAATAAGCCTCTTATTTTGCTTCCCTTTTATAAAGTCATAGGAAGTTATTGGCACTATGCAAATAATTCTGGGGCTGCTGTGTAATTAACTTGCTAAAACAAGCATTTTTGAAACACATCCCATTTCATACTGTAGTGTCACAACAAACTGGCTGGCAGCAAATAGCAAGGGACCATTTTTTTCTGGAGATCTATTCTTTGTTAAGTGGCCCAGCCAAGCCCAGAAGCTAGTGAGACAATAAGAAGTCAAATATTTCAGCACCTAAAAACTTCCACCAGATCCTTGTATGGTACAACCCTTTCTTAGCTTCTTCCACTTCCTTTTTCCCTTATATCTTCTCCCTCCCATATCTGTTGTGATTTTTTTCCACATATAGCCAAGATCTGATGTTCAAGTATTTGTTGCTCTTTTTGCTCAGTTTTATTTCTTTAGTTACTGAAATTATGAATTGGTCAATTACATTAAATACACATTTTCTCAATTGTTTCATTCAAGCTATTTTATTTGGCTTGAATTGTCACCATCTTCAGTGGGACTGTTACAGCAATGGTAAAAGCTACTGGTTTCTACTGGCTGACAATTTTCAGCCAAATGTCCTAATTGTGGGTTTAGGACAACTCGCTGCAGCCAACTCACTGTGGGACATCTTGCCACAGGACAATTCAACACTATTAATCATTTCATCCAGTTACTTTTATTATAGGTGACCGTGTTTCATCAAAATTATTGTAATTCTTGTATTTCTGGATTGACTTTATTTTATTATTATTGGCCATGATTGCACTGAAATTAATTTAACTTGTATTTATTAAATTGTCCTATGGCGAATTGTCCCACAGGGAGTTGGCTGTGGTGAATAGGCCATGGCGAGTTGTCCACCTAGTTGTTTCCTATTCCTGAGACATTCTTAGTGGCCAGAACCATTACAATGTTACCAAATAATTATAATCTTATTGTGAGATTATAATTTATAAAATGTAAGTATCTGGGAGTACCTATTGATCTCAGCATTCGTTGCCACACCTATATAGGAAATATACTCTTTATCAAATAAAAAATGATGAAGCATCATAACCAAATGGCAAACAGAATCTCTGGATCCCCAATATACATGATAACTGAGCAAACAGCTGCAACAACTACAATCTACAGTTCTATGTCACATTAGTGTAACAGGATTAATGTGTATTCTTGAACAGGTTTATCGACTTCTGTGATGTTAACTCCATTCTGAACTTTTTAAACTCAGGACAAGCAATAGATCATCTGTAGAGGGAGGGAGAGGGCTTAAAAACTAAGATGGTAGGTGCAACTAATTACATAATCAACACTTTGCCCCTTTTTCTTGTGTGTCAGGCAAACATAGGTTTTTATTTAATAATCTCAAATGCTGTGATATTAAGCACTTTTACTAGAAAATAATAGGAGAGTTATTTCTGTTCAGATCTGCTGAAACCTTCCATAGAAACTGCTGGAATTTAATTGCTAAACGAGTATAAAATTGCAACTTTGATATTAGGCAGAGAAGAGTAACCTCCTCCCTTTTTTTAATGTGTTAATTTTTCATCATAATGAACCAATCAAACCACATAAAAAACTCTTGTTGTTGTTGAAAAGCAGCAAATTTGAAAAGTGCTACTTTTTTACAACTCTTCCCATAGTTCAGATGCAGAAATCCATATAACCACTGCATGACAGCAAAGAGTTACAGAAGACTCTTGTAAATCCTTTGCTGCCAGATTTTTGCAGCTCACAGAGGACAGCTTTATATTTGTTGATCTGCCTTAGGCAGCCAAATGCTTTGGCTCTTAACAAGACAACCAACACATTGTTTCCTTTCTTGATCAGAAGTTAGTCACGCAGGCTCTATTTCTATGACACACAGAACCCCAAACCAGGCTGTTGTATTTTAATTTACCATTTTTTACAGACCTAGACTTCAAGTTAATTTATGATTTGAGGTATCATTTAAACTCAGAAGTCTGTTTTTATGTTATACCATGGTGAGGAATGCTTGACAGAATCCTATGGTCAGAACTGCAACCTCAGCAGATGGCTTTCCCTATCACTACCAGCCTTCACTGAGAGGGATATAAAAATGGTTGTCTTTTTAAGTGCTAATGCAACTTCCTATACAAATTTTGAGTTTAATGGCTTCCTTACAAAATAAGCTGCATATTGTTCTACAGCAGGCCACAACTGACACCTGAAAGGTTTTGTCTCTTATTTTCACCAAGGACAGAGTTTTGCTTGAAAGACTATCCTGGCTAAATCTGTCTTAAATATAAAGAATTGAATGAAAGAGAGGGAGGGGAAAAAAGAAGGAAGGAAGGAAACAGAAAGAAAGAGAGAGAGAGAGAGAGAGAGAGAGAAAGAAAGAAAGAAAGAAAGAAAGAAAGAAAGAAAGAAAGAAAGAAAAGAAAAGAAAGAAAGACTCCTTAAATTTGCTCATCAACAACTGGTACATACATCTCCTGATTTCTATCTGAATTACATTAGTCTTTTCAAGTACAATGTCACCCCTCCTGTTTCTCATAGACTTCAAAGCCCCCCCAGATTCTGCATTAAATGTTCTACAGGAATGAATCACTAAAAAAATTCAGTCAAGGAAAGAAATGCATCAAAAAGCTGAGAAACTTCTATAAAACCAGAAACAGTCTGAGGCCTGAGAATTTTCCCATTATTAAGCATTATTAAGGAGGATAAATGGTCGGTTTTTCAGAACATTTGATTCTACTTAAAGGGGTGTTTTCAGTTACACTGACTTCCTGGAATAAACTCAGAAGGAAAAGAATAAAGCCAAACTGAAAAGAGTTTATCTGTCTTGACTTAATGTGTACTATCTAATGGCATAAAAGGGTAGATTCAACATTGCGTTATAGCAATGAGTAAGCTATCACTTCTGGATTTAACTTTGCCATGCTCTGCCCATGACTTAGGAATCTAAAAGAACAAAGGAGTTTATGAACACATTTTTTTCTTCAAATACACAGACAACTGGAAGTGCTACCAATGTAAATGTAATAACCAGAATGAGTCAGGCAGATAGAATCCTACCAGAATTTTACAATGAATGTACTAATTGTAAATTAGTATATAATGAACAAATCATACTATTAACAGCTAAG